AAAAAAAAAAAAAAAAGATAAAAGCAAATCCGTTCTTAAAACACATGAAGCAAAGCTCTTTAATTTCTTCCATATCAACTACAAAAACATTTAAAACAACAGAAGGAGTAATTCACATACCAATGTGAGCAAATTCAAGACTGAGATGATATAATCGGTACCACAAGTCTGGCAATTCTCCAGTTGGTCTAATCCATATGTAATGACCATGTCACAATGTATAGTCATGCTAGGATCCAAGCTGCCGAGCAAAACACCAACACACTCATTAGCAGCTGTCAACACAGCCTCAGAAAAAAACACTTGGTTTGCAGCCGTCACGCATCTCATTACTCTGTATAGAACCTGCAAATGGGGAAAACAAGCACCTTTTTAAACACAAGCTTCTCTACACCACTATTTGCTATTTAATGCATCTTCAACTCAAAATTATCTGTCTTTTTAACAGTCTTATTGTTTGGCGAATTTCCTTTTTGATTGAGATGGAACAAAGGCTAACCTAGATTGTCTTTACAGACGTGTACCTCCACACAGGTCACAGTTGATTCTCTAATTCTTGGTAACTAATAAGGACATCTTTAATACAGTATAAAAAAAAAGATCTTGGCTAAAAAGTATTCCAAACTACTATCATGACAAGAAATAGAATCTGTCCCCCTTGAGTTCACTTACAGTCTTCCTCTATTCCTAGAAATTATCAAATGGCTAAAGTTTAGTATCTTTATAATTATGATATACACCACAACTTAGCACACTTAGAAATGTCAAGATCACATCTGCTTAAATGCAGATCTTGGATTTTTTTGTTTATTTGGCTGGTCATTTTGTTTTTATAGTTTTGGGGGTATTTGGTTTTGGTTTTTCAAGACAGGGTTTCTCTGTGTAACAGCCCTGGCTGTCCTGGAACTCACTCTGTAGACCAGGCTAGCCTCAAACTCATGCAGATCTACCTGCCTCTGCCTCCCAATTGCTGAGATTAAAGGTGTGTATCACCACCACCCAGCTAGATGTTGGATTTTTAACAATCTTTTCAAAATAAATACTAAAGTTGCTTTAAGCTAATAGTAAAGTTTGTGTATCAATGACCATGGTAGCCAAGTACTCTACCATTGAGTCCTAGGAGTTCTTTCTCAGGATAAGAATTCCTGATGTGCACAATGCAATTAATGATCATAAAAACCAGATAATTTCTGACATATATACATACACAGAAATCATTAAATTGCAACAGTATTTATGTACTAAATTTCAAATAACCTTTTTAAAAAATGGAAAAGTTCATGCTAAAAAGTATCACAGATCTATAACAATCAATCGAGTTGTCTCTTAAATATGTAAGTTTCATTAATGCTATTCACAAAAGCCAAAATTGAAGGCCTTCGTAACATATTTAAAATATAACTGTTCTGAGAAAGTTTATGTTCCTTTCCTTTTGTTTTGCATTTGAGTTAACTGTCTTTACTTCACTCTTCAAGCAACAGCCTTTTAAGTAATAAAAAGGGAAGAAAGAAATAAAATGAAGCCATTTTAAAGATTTCTTTATCAACACGCAAGCTTAGTTATATATATAAAATCTGATACTTCTGCTCTAGTACACACCTACCTTAACAAGGATTACACAATACTTTATTCATCTAGCAAAGTTATGCTCCTAAAAAGCCGGCACTGTGCCTGACCACTTCAGTCATGTAGACCGTCTTCCCTGGCTGCCACACATGCATCTCCCTCCTCACTCCAGAGGACTCACTGCTCAGGGCTCATTTCTCTCTGCTAAACTACAACATGCATTGATGACGCATGTGCAGTACTCTGGTCACTTCTCATACCTGGCTTCAGGCTGATATTTTAAAACTGCATTTTTTTTTAACATCAAAGAATATACAATCATGTGACTCCTGAGTTCCATCTTGTCATGCTCAAAGAAAATGACCAGTTTATTTTCACTGCAGTAAGGAGTAGGAATAGCATTCAGGTTTCCATGCAAGGCAAAGGCTCTACTACAAACTACACGGTCAACCCAAGAAAATGATCTCTGATGCTTTCTCTATAGTGTATTATTCCTATTGTGTTGAAAGCTAAAAGGACACTCAATTTTTAAAGAAAAGTTAGTATTAATTTTAAAGTTTTAAAATTATATATTAAACATAGTAAGTGCAGGATGAGGGAAAGTTTGGTGCTTTATAAGGTGAGGTAAGAATAAAGCCTACACAAGGCACTAGGTTCAACCCCAGTACCAAAGAATATAAAAATAAAAATACATGCATCTGTGAAGGAACTCCTTAAAGAAATGTCAAGAGTGTGTAAGAATTCAGAGTGACCCTTTCTTGGTGGGGTGAGGATGGTGGTTGATAAGAAGACTTCCCTACTTTTCTAAATAAGGAAGTAAACAGACACAAACACATTTAACACAAAAGGTTAATATAGTTCACTGGGTACAGAGGGCCCTTACAACACAACCTGGCTTTTAAGACACTTACATCTGTGACATATGCCTCAGTAATTGGTGGACCCCGAATTGGGCTGAAGCGCTCCCCAATGCTCCTCACCACAGTACTGAATACTCGGAGAAGTGCTGCCAGCTTTGGTAATGACACTGATGGAGGAGGAACATCTTCATCCACTGATTCCCCAGAGGCCACATGGCTGAGGTCCTAGATGTAAATATACAACATTCTTACTGAAACAATAGCACACTGAGGTTTGCTTTGGCTTTATCGCTATAAGCTGGTAACCAGTCATCAAGCCCAAGCCCTTGCACATACTAGGCAAGGGCTCTGTAGTGAGCTACATTCCAGCTCCTATTTCTTTTTAATCTCCTCTTCCCAACCCCCAACATTTTATTTTGAGAGAGTCTATTATGTTGCCAAGACTTCTGGGCTCCATCGATCCTCTTATCTCAGCCTCTAGAGTAGCAAAGACTTATCCAATGTCTTCCAATGCTTTAAGTCACTTAATTTTAGCAGGTTATTGTTTTGTTTTGTAAAAACAGGGTCTCACTAAGTAGTCCTGCTGGCCTGGAACTCAATATGTAGAACATGCTGGCCTCCAACACACAGAGATCTGCCTAACTCTGCCTCCCAGGTCCTGGAATTAAAGGTATGTTCAACTACACCTGGCCCTAGAAAAGATTATCAATTAAGAGAAATTTTAGCCTAAAAGAGGAAACATAGGACTCCATATACCTAAAGTTCTCTATAAACCATTCCACACAAAACTAGGTAAATTATGAAAATGATCTGCAACAATACAGATGTTGAGGAAAAAAACAAATTCTTATGCATATATTATATTGTTGTATAAGTACAAAAGGCACACCAAAGTTTTGGCATTCCTAAATTTGTATTCTACTAAATTCTTATTCCATACAATTTTTGACCAACAAATTAAGAATATATTAATAGTATGCACTGAGAAAGGAAAGGGATTAGAAATTTGAAGACCTACTCTACAGACTTAAAATCTTATTGAAAGTATAAAATTGGGGTTGGGGATTTAGCTCAGTGGTAGAGCGCTTGCCTAGCAAGCACAAGGCCCTGAGTTCAATCCTCAGCTCCAAAAATAATAATAATAATAATAAAATAAAAGTATAAAATGTACCCAAAGACAATTATTAAGATTGGGTGCTAGAAATAACATATTTCTATAAATAATTAAGTACCCCCCCAAAAAAAAAAAGAAAGAAAGAAAGAAAAAGTAGTAGTATTAAAAATGCCTAAGGGAAGTGTCTCTATCTATGAAAATGGGTAGTTTTTGAAAGATTAATCTCTATAGGTAAGGGGGGGACATGCATTCTGTTATGTTTCAAGGGACAAAAGAAAAATATGAAAATATAAAATTCTAGTTTTTTTTTTTTTTTTTTTACTGAAGAAAGCAAATAAGCCCATTAGTGACGAAAGTGGTAGAATAATGAATAAACTCTGACTGGAAGTGAGCAAAGAACTTAAGCAAACTGAGTATGTGGACAGCCAAACAGGAACCACGGCACTCCCATGGAGACAACAAAGGCTTAAGCCATAGTAGTGGGTCCAGCAGCAAGGGCAAAGGCTGCAGGAAGCCCCCTGAAAGTCGCCACATTCACACACAGTTGCACCAGTGGAATAAAGCCAAGGCTTGTCCTCCACACCATGATATGAGAGCCTCTGAATACTCTAGGCCTGCCTGCATGTTTCAGTTCTAAATTATATCAATCTACCTTTGGTAATAAAAAAATAAATAAAATAGGAATGAACAATGGGATTTGCCTTTAAGATAAATACCTGCTATCAAGAACATTTAAACTTTGCATAATATTATGCATATATATGTGTGTGTGTGAAAGATTATATATACACAAACTTTCTGGTTACTTAAATAGCAAAAATAAAATAAATTAAAAAACAATCTCAACAATCGTATAATTTCTGCTTAAATGTCTGACAATCTTAATTATCTGTAAAATAAACCTAATTGTGTTTATAATCTTTGAGACTAACTTGGTTTTCTACAACTTACCTCAGCATATGCCTCCATGTCTTCAAGAAATTGACCAAGAAGAGTGGTAGAAAATGCAAGGTCAGCTACCCAAAATGGCTCCAAACTCTGCAACCACCCTTGACATCATGGAAGAAATTTTGAAGAGGCAGGGGGGAAAAAGTGTGGGAGGGATTACCAAAAGTAAAAATGAACCCTGCTTTCCAGCTATTTACTCTTAAAACATGCCCTGTATTGTAACATTAGAACTGCCACTAAAAAGCATGCTGGTGATTAATCAAGCCTCTTTTAATGTTATAGAAATTCACATCCTTCAGAATTCAGTTTGTAAATCTTGTATCATTTTTCAGATTTAATATCTATGTCACCCCACCAACCCACCCACACACCACCGCCCCCGCCACCCCCCCATGACTTAAAATGTACTATCAATCTAGCTTTCTATCCCAGGTCATGGGGCTGTTCATTTGGCTTCACGGCAGAAATGACACCATCCATTCTAATTGGCATACACTTTTCAAAACTTATTATACCAAAGATTCAGAGGAGAGAAACTGTACCATGTGGAACAAGCAGGTGTGTGCAAACAAGTTGAATTATCATTTGTTCTCTATCACAGATGACAATCATCCAATTATTTGTGGCTCATTTAAAATGATCACAAAAGCAACAATAAAAACAATAAATGGGAGCTGGAGAGATGGCTCAGCGGTTAAGAGTACTGACTGCTCTTCCAGAGGACCTGAGTTCAATTCCCAGCACCCACATGGCAGTTCACAACAGTCTATAACTCCAGTTCCAGGGGACCTAACACCCATGGCAAAAAACTAATGCACATTAAAAAAAAAAAAAAAAAAAAACCAAAACGAAACAAAAAAACAGAATCTTCTATTCTAGGTTTCAGGGTATTTCAACCTCTTGACTTTCTTGCTAAACATATTATAGACAACTTCGGATATTGTCTTTAAATTCTCTCACAGTGCAACACTATAATCTGGATTTCTCCCAACCTACTATTTACTACATATTTTTGCTTTGAAGATCAACAGAGCTACCCAGTGATGTTCACTTATATATTTTATATATCTAAATATCTGATATATATATATATTTTATATATCTTCCTGAAGTACCCTTTTTACTAGGTCAGACCAACACTTCTTTGCACAGTATTTACAGAACTGACACAAGCTAAGACTTACCAGACACCTGCTGTGTGAGGGAGGGTTTCTGAGTATGATCTATGTGCCATCCAACTAATATATCAACTGTATCCTTGATGGGGACAAAAAGAGGAGGCCAGTCATTTTAAGGTTTCACTGCTATGTCATCAGGGAGATCACATCACATTAAAAGACCCTAGAAAAAGCTGTTCAATCTACCTGACATGGGAGTTGGAGAGGCAGGAAAAAAAACAAACTGTAGTCATGACACTGAGGCAATGTTTTCTCTTCTATACCAAAGGTATTAATGTCGGGGGGGGGGGGGGGGATGCAGTTGTTACTTTTTTATAAAAACATTATTATTGTCATCATGACCCCTGTTGTGATATTACTGCACCAATTAAGCCCTTTCTTCTAAAACATCACTGATTATATTCAAAGGCTAAGAAGCTTGTTTACTATCTGATGCCTCCACTTCACAAAACCATTCCACCATCAAAAAAAGGTAAGATGGGAATAAAGTCGGAAAAAGAAACTCACCCTAAAATTGGTGCTGAAAATATGAGGGTAGCATCGAGCCACCAAAAGAATGCACTTAACACATTTGCAAAGTAATTCTGGTGTATCCACATTTTCAAGAATGGATTGTAGGCTGGTCATCACAAGCTGAAAAGCAAAGTTACAATCATAAACATTTGACAATGTAGAGAGAAAATAGTTTACTTCACAACTAATTATGAGACCAAAGAAGATAAATTTTTTTCAATATTGTTTAAGATATAAAACTAAAGAGGACAAAAATTACCACTTTATGTAAATATTTCAAGTTCAGCATTTTCAAAAGAAAACAAATTCCATTGCTTTAATTATTTTATGTTAGGCCAAAAAGCAATACTGTTCTCTATTTTAATATCTATTAACATTTTTTTCCTTTCTTATCAACTAACTGTAGTGGTGAAAAAGCATCTCTATGTTATTCTGTGGCTGTGACTAAATTTAAAGTACAAAAATAATAAGATGTAACCAGACGTGGTGGCACACGCCTTTAATCCCAGCAATCAAGAGGCAGAGGAAAGTTGATCTAAGAGTTTGAGGCTAGTCTAGCTAGTCTGGTCCACATAGAAAGCTCCAGGCTAGCCAGGGACACATAACTCTACCAACCAGCACACCCCCCAAAAAGTAAGATGTACTTGGGAAACTGATTTCCTTAACCACGTCAATTACTCTACAATTCAGCATATAGGGTAAAGCTAGGAGCTGTAGCACAGGCCTATAACAACCCCAGCACTTGGGAGGTTGAGGAAGAATAAACAGACCAGGAAAACCAGGGTTATAAAGTAAGGCCTTCTCTTAAAACACTCAAGAATAAAAAGGAAAAGTTTTTCAGAGTTAATCTTGGATAATTACTATGCTTTAAAGCAAACTGTATGCATTTTGTTTCGAATCAAGATGATCTGGAGAGAGTTAGTTAATTAGGATGGGACCCTAGAGATGATATTCAGGCTTCTTTCCACTGAGCACTTATAATGAAAAGAGACCTATCACTTACACAGCTGCTAAAAACCACTTTCCTCAGACAGAAGTTCTTTTTTACATGTATATACATACATACATGTGCATATGCATACACATGTGTGTAATGAAGGGGTATAATGGAGGGATGGAGAGATTGGTCAGCAGCTAAGAATACTTGCTGTTCTTGTAAAGTACTTGGGTTCAGTTCTCAACACCCACAGAAGAGCTCACAACTATCTGTAACTCCAGTCTAGGGGATCTGATGCCTTTTTATACCCTGTGCAGGCACCACACAAACACATGGTTGCATATACAAAACTCATAAAACAATATAAATTAATATTTTAAAAAGGTAACACTAGAATTTTAAAGTCACCATTTTGCAGTAGCCAATGTTAGAATCTGGATATTAAAATCACTGAATGAAACATTATTAAAACACCAGGACATCCAAAGATCAAGACACCAGACCCATACTGCTCATCTGAAAGGGGAAAAAAAGCTTCATAATAAGATCTGATGATCATTCCCTCAACCAGGGATCACTCTTCAAGTCTAATAGAGGGACCAACCTGCTGTCAGGTTGCCTGTAATGAACATATCAAGCATTCATGCTTAAAAATGTTTAAACTGACTCTACTCAGAAGGTACAGTCATTAAAAAAGAGAGAAAGAGGAAGAAGACAGAGAAAAGTAGCACATATAATAAGGAGTGGGTATGGAAAACTATTATTATTGGAGAAATTATTTTGGCCACTCCACATAGTTAAAAGGATAAGAAAGTTTCAAAAAGCATAGTACCAAAGGCTATACTTGAATCTTGAATGGGATCTTGGGTCAGAAGAACCATAGATATACATGGTATCTTAAGGGCAATTACAGACACTTGAACATAGTTTGTACAGGCAATAAAATGCTTTTCTTAAGTGTATAACATTGCTGCTATAGAAGGAATAGGCTCATTCTTCAGTGATATATACTGATATGTAACAGAGTGAATTGTCATATGTATTTAATTTACCTTCAAATACTTCCACAAAAAGTGTTCATGTGAAAATATAATAAGTGTAAGGGATGGAGAGATGGCTCAGTTGATAAAGTGCCTAAAGCATGAGGTAAAGTAAAGCATGAGGACCTAGGTTCAATCACTAGCACTCAATAAAGGCCAGATGTGGTAGCACATGTCTGTAACTCAAGCACTGTAAGGGGAGGAAGAACTGGAGCCAGGTAGGTTACTGAGGTTTACTGATCAGCCAGTGAGAGACCCTGTCTCAAAAAGCTAAGGTAGAAAGCAATAGAAGAAAAAGACTGCTCGCCTCCACACATGTGCATACACACACATTCCACTACCAAAAGAGATAAAGAAACCTATAAGCCAAGTATGGTAGTACACCTTGTAGCATTTGGGAAGCTGACTTAGGAGGATCATCATGAGTTCCAGGCCAGCTTGGAATACAGAGTGAGACCCTGCCTTAAAAACCAAAAAGTGCCTGGCGGTAGGGGCACACGCCTTTAATCCCAGCACTTGGGAGGCAGAGCCAGGAGGATCTCTGTGAGTACAAGGCCAGCTGGTCTACAGAGCGAGATCCAGGATAGGCACCAAAGCTACACAGAAGAACCCTATCTCGAAAAATCAAACACCAAACAGTAAGTCAGGCAGTGGTGATACATGCCTTTGTTCCCAGCACTTCAGAGACAAGAGGCAGGCAGATCTCAGTGAGTCTAAAAAAGGGAGTTCCAGGACAGCCAAGACTGTTACACAGAGAAACCCTGTCTCAAAAAATACAAACTAACAAACAAAAAAAAAAAAAAAAAATTGGGCTGGAGAGATGGCTCAGCACTAGTTGCTCTTCAAGAGATCCTGAGTTCAATTCCCAGCAACCACATGGTGGCTCACAACCATCTATAATGAGATCTGGTCCCATCTTCTAATGTGCAGGCATACATGCAGGCAGAACATAATAAATAATCTTTTTTTAGGAATTACAAGGCAGCTTTTAGATTTATTATGTATACAGTGTTCTGCCAGCATGTGTGCCTGCAAACCAGAAGAGGGTACTAGATCTCATTACAGATAGTTGTGAGACACCATGTGGTTGCTGGAAATTAACTCGGGACCTCTGGAAGGACAAGCAGTATTCTTAACCTCTGAGCCATCTCTCCAGCACATAAATAATCTTAAAAAAACAAACAAACAAAAAACTAGGAAAACTGCACATATTAAAAAAAAAATAGCTGCTAGCAAAAATGTGATAAAGCAGGGGCTAAAGGTACCTTAGCAGCAGCATTCTTAATATATACAAGAACTGGGATCTTTATCAAACTGGTGTATCCATTTGGAGTCTTTCAAACTATAGTTAGAAAATGCTTACACAAAAATTATGTGTAAGACCAGACCAATTTGCTGCTATGATGTTTATTTACAAGTAATTTTTAGAAACTTACCCAAAAGTTTCTATAGTCAAGGAAATATATATTCCATACATACATATTTTTTTAAATTATTCAAAAGGAAGCAGTTTGAGAGTTGTAAAAAAGCAAACAAAGCCAGGCACAGCGCACACACCTCTAATCCTGGCACTCAAAAGACAGAGGCAGGTAGATCTCAAGTTCCATGCAAGCAAGGACTACATAGTAAGACTCTGCCTCTCAAAAATACATGAACAAACAAAAAGACATCAGATATTCCAGGCACCAAATAACTTATTTTTTAAACATTCCCTCAACAAAAACATGACATAAATGCTCCTCAGATTAAACTGGAGAGTCAGATACAGCATATAGTCCTGGCACTCAGGGGGCTAAATCGGAAAGGTGAGACATTGGAGGATATAGTATGTGACACAAAATAAGACCCTATCTCAAAAAACCCTAACAAAACAAAACCCTAACTTGGGAGTAAGCTTTTCCGTATATCCAGACATTCAGAAGTGAAGAAGAACTAAACAGAAGCTGGAGTACAATTCATAAATTAGTGTTTACATTATTTAGAGTAATAATTTTAGACATTATCAAGCCTAAAACTTAGGCAAGTGAGGGGGGGTGGGGAGAGATTTAGAAATTAGTTGTGATGGTTAGCTTTTGTCTCTCTCAAAAACTGTGAGGGCCCCTCCAGGCCAACTCTTTAAGTAAAGTTCCTACTTTAAATCTGCAAGTCACTCTAGTATTAAGCAACTTCAAAGAGAAATTTACATAAAAAAGACAAAAATGTCTAAAATTAAAATTCCTGTAAACTTAACTTTACTCAAAATAAAAATGTGTTTTGACTGCACAGTGCTGTGTCCAACAGCAGGCACGGAAGCCCATCCTCCACTTGGCCCTCCACCTCACTCCACCCCATTATGGGTCCATGGCTCTCACCTGCATCACCGAGGAAAAGGCTTTCTTCTCCCCAACAGTCTCCAGCGCTCTGTAGGTGGCGCACAGGTAGAGCAGCTTCACCTCATCTTTAGCAGATGAGCTAAATTTGCTAAAAATCCACTTGAAGATCTTCTCAGCCTCGTAGCTCAGAGAAGCACAGAGAAGTCCAAGACAGCAAGCTCCCTCCTGCCTCAACTCCTGAAGCAACTTGCTACTGTATTTGTTTTAATGTAAACCAAACAAAACACACACAAAAGGCATTAGTTTTCATGGACTGAAAATATGGCACTTCTTATAAAAGAATGTCTCCCATGTATTAAAGAATTCCTAAATGACTTTTCAAAGCTCAAACTAAATAAAAAGGTGGAATTTTACCCATTCTACATCTGTATCCTCTGTAGTATATAATGTTCAAAAGTCTCTTTATCAGACATTAGATTTCTTTACAAAATGATTTACTAAGAAACACTAAGAAGCTAAGAAGTGTTAAAATCCAGGCTTCAAGTAAGTTCCACTTCTGATTCACAGAAAGGCAGCAGGAAATCATTAGAAAATGCACTGCATTTCTAATAACATTCAACATACAACAATTGCAAAGCAGGAAATGTTTAGTAGCTAAACCACACAAACTTAAAAAGATAACAGCTAGAACTAAGTATAAAATTAAGAAATTGGGTAAAATAAAACCATTAGTGACCTGCTAATTCTAATACTGCAATCCTTTGGAATCACTGAACCTCTCTGAGAAGCCTAGAGATAATTAAAAGAATGAAGGTTGCCTTTTCCTCTGCTCTCTAAACATTTTTAAAACTCTTTCAAACAGTAACTTTAATACACTCTGGCATCAGCTCATGTCTTTCCTCAAGCCAATGCTTAGAAAAAAAGAGGATTCTCTTCCAAATAGATTCCATTTGTATTCAACAATAATTAGTGAATAAATAACAGGTTAAGAATGGTATGAAGGAGCCGGGCGGTGGTGGCGCACGCCTTTAATCCCAGCACTCGGGAGGCAGAGCCAGGCGGATCTCTGTGAGTTCGAGGCCAGCCTGGGCTACCAAGTGAGTTCCAGGAAAGGCGCAAAGCTACACAGAGAAACCCTGTCTCGAAAAACCAAAAAAAAAAAAAAAAAAAAAGAATGGTATGAAGGATTTAGTGATGTTTATAAATAAGGCCAAGAGTACAACGTGTATATTTCAGTAATTTCTACAATTACATTCAAAGTCACCTAAATATGACCATTATTAGTTACTTACCTTTCATTAAGCACATCATGCACAGCAGCCAAGATATTATCCAACTGTTTAACTAGTACCTTAAAAAAAGTATAAACAAATTCACAGAGACAGAAAGATTAGACATTATCTCAAAATTGAGAAGAAAGTAATACAGAGCAGAATCTCTGTTTTGTGTTATGGAAAATCCCTACAAATGGACAGCAGTATCAGGACATATAATATCACAAATGTAATAAATCAATACAATTAATGTAATTAATGAATATCATAAATATAATTGTTGAATGAATACTGTGAATGTAATCAACAAATACCACAAATGTAATTAATTTTAAAAAAGTATAAAAACTTCAGATTCCTACTTAAAAACAGCATTGTATACTTTATCATCCCATTCAGATATGATTATATAGCATCTCAGTTTCTTTGTTATTGCCAGTCTTTGATCACATGAGGATGGCATGTTTCCCTTCAAGCTATAAAATGAACTGATTCACAGGAATCAAGAGTTGAAATCATCAACAAGATACATTCAAGCTCATTTTAATTATAAAAAAAAAAAACTCTGAAGAGCATTTACATGGAATGATAAGGGGATTGAGAGGTAATAAAGGAATACAGTGACATATCAATGACAGAATCTAGGGGTGGCACCATGAGCTTAATTGGACATCTTTCTATTTGCTGCATATTCAAAATTTTCCATAATAAATTTTGAAGAGAGGAGCTTTGCTTTGTGCCTTGCTATATATAATTCTTACTAATTTTCTCCTGCATCAAGCTCTTAACATCAGGAAAATTAAGAGTAAAGAAATATGCCTTTAAAGATTGCCTTTTAAAGAGCTTTTCCATTTTTCTTTCCATTATTATTATTTTAAAGTGAGCGTGCATTGTGCTGTGTATGCATGTGTCTGTGCAAGTGTGAGCGAGCGAGCGAGCGTGTGTGTGTGTGTGTGTGTGTGTGTGTGTGTGTGTGTGTGTGTGTGCGTGCGTGCGTGCGTGCGCGCATGTATACTCATGCACAAGTGCTCTTGGAGGCCAGAGGTGTCCAATCATCTGGAACTAGAGTTACAGGCAATTGTGAGCTGCCCAACATGAGTGCTGGGAACCAAACTCAAGACCTCTGTAAGAGCAGGAGACACCCTTAACCTCAGAGCCATCTCTTCAGCCCCAGCTTTTCCATTTCTTTACCTCTGATCACTAAACCAGACTTATATTCATAACACATGTACCCTATACTTCCACTTTATGTATGTCAAAGAAGTTGTCTGTCAAAGAAAATGTCTATGGGCAGCAGGGATATCCACAAGCTAAATAATGTTTAAAAAAAAAATTTAAATGCACTCCATGAAAGAAGACACTAAAGTGACTCCAACAAGAACCATTTATAGATAAATGATACATTAGGGGCATTATCATTCCAGGCCACCCTAACATAGGTCAAGTACACAGCTAAGGAAACTTTTTTTCCTAGAAGCAAACCATTTCTTGCTGAAACCTCCCAACACAGAACCACAGTACTCTGAGAACACCAAGATCCTCAGCAACTCCAAGCACATTTACTCACCAATTTATTTTCTGGCTGCTGAATAAACTCCTTCAGCTGCTTTACAGTAGCCAGTCTTCGGTCTCTGTCATCTTCCCGGGTGATCCTCCGAAGAAGATTCGACAGTCGAGACTCATCCGAGTACGACATCGATCGCTCTGTGAAATAGAAACATTTCATGGCCCCCTAGTACACTCTAAGTATGAAGCATATAGTTCAGGCATTCTAGTTCAGTGTACTGATCTTTCTTCTGTTCAGCTCTCTTTGTATCTATAGGCGAATACCTGGTCATAGTTCCACAGACTTCAAAAAACTCTCGTCAAAGATAAAATAAATGAAAACCCCTCAGCAAACTGAGCATCTCACTGAGGAAGACCAGCTGAGAAAGGAAAAAAAGAAAGGCACAGAAACATTTTTTTTCAGTTCCATCCCAAGCTGTTTTCAAGATCTACCTAAAAAAAAGGTAGGGTAGAGCATGGTGGCAGGTACCTGCAGTCCCAGCTACTCTTAACAATTCTGAGTCCACAAGTTGTTTAGATTAACCAAGGAAGTCATCTCAAGAAAAACAAAATACAAAAACCAGGAAAGAAAATGGGAACAGGCAATGACTACAAGCCAGGGACGTTGTCTGTATAGGCAGAAAACGTCATGTTTCTATTTCTCATCGAAGAGAGGCCCCTACAGGAAACCGCTTGTTCACAGTATTATCATTTCTCTGGCACAAAGCTCAGGCAAACTGCAAGTACACAGTCAATTTGACAACAGCTAACTACCACTTGCAGCATGAACACCATGGCATCACTATGAAAGTAGCCCCAGAACCTTTCTTTTTCCTAGTTGCAAGCAGAACACAAACACACCAACAGTACTTAACACTTCTGATGTTCTAAATATGAAGACTATATTTTATTTTTAGTTTATATTTTGCCTATGTGTATACAAGCTAGAGGTTCACAGAAAAAGTGTCAAATGCTGCCACCTGCATGCTTTGCAACTCACAGATGCACTTATCTGTTCATGGCCATGAGAGATGAATGTGGTCAAGCCTAGTATATCTAAGTCTTACCCTGTGATTTCCTCATGTCTTTGGTGGCTAATGCACGACTGCCATGCTGAACACTGGTAAACTCAGGGCTGGTCACATTGTTAACCCTCAGCTCTTGCCCCAACGACTTCCGACCATAAGTATTTTCCCCAGATCCTCCATTGACACTGTAGCCACCTGAAAAAAGCAATGTACATTATCTCAACAAGGTCCTTGTTTCACTCTCAACTAACAGTTCAGGATTTCACCCATTTACAGCATTTGCTTCTCCCTGGGCTACCTGACTCCAAACCATTTTGATTCCTTCATTGGAAGGTAAGCAGAGAAATAAAAGTTAAATTCAGACAGATTTTATATTCTGCTAAAGCACATTCTGGATGAGTAAACAAGAGATAGTAGCCTGGGGACCCTCAGATGTTACAAGTAGACAATGCATTTAAACTATATGCCTTAAAAAACCTTCAAAGAGCCAAACTTAAAATTTTCAAAAATAAGCCGGGCGGTGGTGGCGCACGCCTTTAGTCCCAGCTCTCGGGAGGCAGAGCCAGGCAGATCTCTGTGAGTTTGAGGCCAGCCTGGGCTACCAAGTGAGTTCCAGGAAAGGCACAAAGCTACACAGAGAAACCCTGTCTCAAAAAACCAAAAAAAAATTTTTTTTTTTCAAAAATAATATTTTATCTGGTACATATTGCTGTGGGATAATGCTTTTGTATACTGGTTTAATAAAACACTAATTGGCCAGTAGCTAGGCAGGAAGTATAGGCGGCATAAGCAGACAAGGAGAATTATGGGAAGAGAAAGGCTGAGTCAGGAGACACCAGGCCACTGTCCAGGGAGCAGCATGTAATGGCACACAGGTAAAGCCACAGAATATGTGGCAACATATAGATTAACAGAAATGGGCTGAGTTTAAGTGCAAGAGCTAGTCAGTAGTAAGCCTGAGCTAATGGCTGAGCAGTTTTAATTAATATAAGCCTCTGTGTGTTTACTTGGATCTGAGTAGCTGTGGACCAAGTGGGACACAGGAAAACTTTCAGCTACAACCTATCTTTTCAATACATTAGAAAATGAATAGAAAAAGGAAGGAGGGAGGAAGGGAGAGAGGAAGAGAGAGTGACAGAGACAAACAGATACCTGACAGGGAGGGATAAGAAGAGAAGCTGCTCCAGCAATTGCATGCTCCAGCAGTAGAAATATAAGTAGAAATATAAATATAAATATAAATACACACACACACACACACACACACACACACACACACACACACACACACATACCCTTTTCGTCATTCTGTATGTCAACATGGCCTCTGGTATCATCGTGCCTTTGCCGAGACACCACAGCTGAATTTGAAGGCTGCAGTCCATAAGAGGAAGAAACACCCCTATCTCTGGATGAGGAGTATTTTAAAGTATCTGGGTCAGCTGATGCACTATCAGTTCTGGGGAAAAAAGAGGAAAGGGGGTACAAGAAAAATTAGTATTAGAGTTTTAAGCAAACATTTTAATAGCCAAAGCTATACAGCATCTCTCCCCTTCTAACCTTTATGTTCAGCCACAACTCTATCAAGCACTCTACTGTCTAGTCTTTCAAATGGGAAGAAATTGCCAACAGATGAACTGCCTGCTGCTCATGTTCTCCTACATTTAGAGCCACCTGGACTACAGTGACCAACTCATGTTAATTTGCTCATTTAGTTATTTTACCTTTTCTTTTTGGAGTATGCGTGCACATATGTACAAATTAACAGGTCAAGATCAAGCTCTAGTGTCACTCCTCAGAAGCTGTTCACTTTGCTTTGCTGCAACCTGAAGGACATCAATCAATCAAGCTGATTGGATTGAATCTACCTATTTCTGTTTTCCCTCAGCTGGGATTACAAACACAGCTACAACACCTAGCTTTTTATATGAGTGCTGGGGGTTCAACTGAGGTCCTCATGCTTATGCAACAAGCATTTTATGGACTTGAGCCACCTCCTCAGCCCCAAGACTTTACTGTTTGGAAAGCTAAACAACTGGTCACTCTGGCCCAGGGATTCACTCCCATGATGTGATTCTAAAAAGTAATTCTTCCTACACTCTTCTTCCAGAAAAGCTTATCAGTCAGTCTTTCCAGTTATAAATTAAAAATACTGTCAGCATGTCAGAGACTTGAATTCCCAAATTCCTTGTAAAGTTAGTACCTCACGGCAATGTCTACTGAACTCTCAACTGAATCTTCAAATATCTGGCAAGAAAATATACACTGGTATTTGAAAAGCAAGTAGGCATTAAAAGGAAGATTATGTTTATGCTTGGCTATATTTTAGTGCCTTCACTGAAAAGAATACTATTAAACTTATTTAAAAAGCAAGGAATAAAGTTAAATATTACATTTAATTATTTATTGTGAATATATCTCTCAGTAGGTGTGTATATGTGTGTGTGTGAATATGTGTCCCCACAAGTACCACAGCAAATATATAAAAGTTAAAAATAACAATTTGTGGCAAATCAGTTCTCTCCTTTCACCATGTGGTTCCCAAGAACTGCACTGAGGTATCAGGCTTGGCAACAAGAGCACTTACACACCAGCCCAGCAAATAAAAAAGAAAAGGCAATGTCTCAGAATTCCAGTCATGTTGAATCTGAAGGCTGGGGCCAGTAATGTAAATACTGTCAGAATAATACCCGACACTTAGATATTAACAGATAAGTGGTGAAGCCCAAGATAAAACCAGCATCTTTATCCACTACCAGCTCCTATTAGCTCTATGCCTCAATTTCCTCAGTGAAATTTAAAAAAAAAAAAAAAGGCAAGCTACAATATTTTTATGAGTCTTATTCTTCCAGGTATCAATCATAAACTGTTAAAAAGGAAGAAAATCAAATATTCTATTCTAGCATAGCAGAAATACAAATAACTGTTTTCTTGATTTTCCCCTGAGAAAAAGAAATTCATTTAAAAAAATTGTAGTAGTAATAGCAGTAATTTCTCTATTCAATACAAATGTCTTCTGAGCTAGACTTGGTGATAAAGGCCTTCAATCTCAGCTACTCAAAGGCTGATAAAGCAAGATCACAAGTTAAACACCAACCCTAGCAATTTAGTGACACTCTGCCTCATAACAATCTGATGGAGAAAGGGCAGTTTAGAGCTCCTTGCCTACTACAAACAAGGGGAGGTTCTAGGTTTAGTACTCAGTACCACAGAACAAACAAATGATACCTTAACTCATGATCACTTCAGAGAAGCTTAGGGCACTGACAAAATACACGAATGAGCATGTGCTCTCTCGTATACGAGAAAAGGCAGCAGAATTTTGCACACACACTCCTTTTCTACTTTATAATCCAGTTCTTGTCCTCACCAACTGGACACACCTTGATCTCTACTTTCTGCAATTCCTAATGATACAGAATGCAGAACAGGTCCAATTAAACTTGAACCCCTAACCATAAAGTCTGCTGAGTCAATGCCATAACCTAGCAACCTGAAACTACTAAGGGTGGACTATCTTCTTCAAGTACGTAGAGTTTGTGCCCTTACAGACAAAGCCAATTCTTCTAATGCAAAGAAATATAATCCATGAAATCCCCCCAGGAGGGGGGAGGGGAATGTATGCAGATACTTTTTAAGTACACTAAGTCAGTAGTCAGTAAGCACTAATGCTCAATGGAGCAAAAAAAATTATTAAACAAATGAAAAAATAATCCTTCATATCTCCAAGAATAGTACTATTAAATGTGTACCCATAATCAACTAATGCATTATTACTTTTCCAAAAAATACTGAAGGAAAAGAGAGCTTATGGGCTTCCCGGCCAAGTTGGGGAGGAAGGGGGTGGGAGTGGGAGAGGGGAGTTTTCACCTAATTAAACCTGGAAAAAAATAACTAGTAGATGCACAAATCAGATAAGCACATGGCTAATTCTAATATGCAAAACTTATCTACCAATATTTACATGTGCTGGCATTTCCTATTCTCATTATGCTCACTCCCATGTTGCCCAAACTATCCTAACTGTAGCGCTTTCTGGTGAAAAAGCAGTAACATGAGACTGCAGATCATGCAGTTAAGAGCATTGGGCTAAGACTTCAGCCCCAGTGTGGTAAAGGCCTTTGGTGTCCAGGCCTTTGTTTTCTCTTATATAAAATGCAGATTAATACCTATCAAACATACAAGGCTTTTGTGAGGCTCACATAAGATATAGAATTCTTAACAAATACATAGTTTGCAAGGCACATTAGGAGTTACTGTGGTCGTAATTCAAAATAAACTCAAGTTTTCCAAGCTAAAAGCATATTTTATGAGCATGTAAATGCAATCAAAAGTTTTTACACTAACTATAAAGCAGCTTATGTTCTTCAATGAAGAAATTAAGTAGTTTATTGCTACCAACAAATTTCTAACTTAACTAGGTTCATCTGATTTTACATTATGCTTACAAAACCAAGAATGATTTCCTAATTCATTAGAAATTCCCAAGAGTTATGAACACTGAAATTTTTTCATCACAAAATTAGTTTTGAAAAAAATATAACAATAACACTTCACTAGGCCAGAACCACTGCATTAGAACTGTCCCAAATGTCTTCCGAGTCAAGCACTTGTAATGCTAACTCATATTTCCAGTCAGCATTGAGTACATGTACTTAGAAGCAAAATGCGTAAAATAGCTGAACATTTATATCAAACATCTAGACTGCTTATGTCTTGGAAACTATCTGTGTTAGGCTGTTAGCACCAAGACAAGCCCACCCCAGTCTAAAAAACAAACTGTTAAGAACAGAAATAAGCACTTAAGATGAAGCAAAGCACAAAACAAAAAATACAAATTTCAACTCCAGGAGACAGGAATCAGTGTTACGCAAGCTAGTTAGAAGGGCTGAAAAAGCTATCTACCAGAATTAGTGTTTCAATTTAGTGGAAAAAGAAAATATATCTGTTAAACTAAGAATCCTAGCAAGGATCCAAAAATACTTCCACAGTCCCTTTAATACTCTACAAATGTGGAGAGGAAAAAAAGAAATGCATAAATTTCCCCAAAATGATCCAGCTGAAGTTAAGCCTGATGTACATGCCACATGAGAGGTAAGTTTCTAAAGCTCATACCTCAAAAATCGCATACTGTGTAATATGGAGCCCTTGTGGTGTTTTGCATCAAGTCAATCTGTAAGACAGCAGTTACAGTATTAGTGAAGACAGCGGGTTAAAACATTTGTTCAAACATGAAGCAAATCTCACTCATGGGTTAGGTGCATTTTCTTTCACTACGGCCACTGTAAGTTCAAATACTGAAGCAAAAATCCCAATGGAAAGCCACTCTGCCTTGGAAGACAAGTATTCTTTAAGTGGCAATAAAAAAATGTGAGTACATAAGAGAATTTAAATGTTAACTGTAACATACAGATCCCATGTGAATACAGTTATCACTCATTTTGTATTTACCTATATTCAAAATCCAGAAAATGTAATAAATCTAAGAGGTATTCACTTCAGGTGACTCCAATCTTCAGCCCTCACACATCTGCCACTGGTTAAAGGACAGTATCTCCTGGATAGTCTTATGGTCTGGCTTCTATAAGCATTACATAGAACAACTCCCCTTCCCCTAAAGAGCCACCTCTAGGAAGTGTGAAGTCTGGAAAATTCCCTATGAAGAAGCATTTCCATAAAGGACCCTAAAATGACTTGATGCAAACAACACACCTAGTGGTGCCGCTGGAAAAAGCATTATCACTTTAAATTGTTTTTAACCTGGGCTGAAGAGATTTCATCCCCATGGTTGTAATGGGCATAAACCAAGAAATGAGATTTGCCCTTAAGGCATTGAGGCAGAAATATATAGTCTTTGCAACGATGGTACTCAAAAAGCATCTGCAAAAAGGAGATGCTGGAGCTCACATTGCTTAAAAATGATGTACATTTTAAGCTTAAATCCAGTACTATTCCCATAATGTTTCTGTTTTACAGTTTCTTTCTATTGCTGTGATCAAAAGCAACCTGTGGAAGAAAGGGGTTTATTTCAGCTTACATACTCCATCATTGAGAGAAGTCAGGATAAGAACCAAAGGCAAGAAGAACCTGGAGGCAGAACTGAAGCAGAAACCATAGCTGCTTCCCATGGCTTGCTCAGCCTACTTGCTTATTTATATAACTCAGGACCACCTGCCCAGAGGTGGCACTGTCCACAGTGAGCTGGGTCCTTAAAGAAAAGGCCCCCTCAGGCTTGCTCTCAGGCCATCTGATGCTGGCATTTTCTCAGCTGAGGTTCTCTCTTCCCAAATGACTCTAGCTAGTGTCTGTCAAGTTGACCAAATGCTAATAACCAGGACAGTCTCTTACTCACCTGGATTCAAACATGATTTCATGAAGAAGAAAGGACAAAAAGCCTGAGGCTTCAAGACCATTACTTTCACATTAGAAATAATGGTCCTAAGAGGAAGTCCAGGGATG